ATGGCCATTAGCATGCCAAGTCATGTATCTCGCCGTCTCTTGACACATAAATAGCCGTTGAAGCCTTTTCTTTATTGGAAAATACCTAAGAATCTTTTGAGGAATCCTATACGTCTTTCCATTTTCATTTTGTATGTCATTCTCTGTGTCAGTTGATTTCCATCTTGGCGTCTCACAAACATGGCAGCTTGTTGCATTTTCATGCTCTTCCCAGTATATCATGCAATCATTTGGGCATGCATCTATTTTAGTGTAATCTAACCCTAACATTTTCAAAACACTTTTTGCTTCATTAAATGAAGCTGGTAGTTTTGCATCAGGTAACACCTCCCTTATAAGCTCCAATATATCTCCAAAAGCAGCATTAGTTAGCTTATATGATCACACTTCAAAATAAAAAGCCGAATCATGAAGGAAAGTTTTGAATGATTTTTACAACCGACATACAATTCTTCCTAGCCCTCTTCAACTAACTTATAAAACTTTTTTGCCTCGTCATTTGGCCCATTTGTAAAAGCATCACGTGCATCATGCAACAAGCCTACTATGTCATCATTAAAATCATTTGGGTTTGACCCTTCATCATTATCCAAAATAGTCTGTTCCCTTTCAATGCTAATGTTGATCCCTAACTCTGATAACTTATCCGTTTGAGGAACAAAACCATCACAAATAAGGTGATCTCTCACAACACTTTCATGACGCCAAAAACGATAGTGACAACTTTCACAAGGACAACAAATTTGATTTCCTTGAGACTTGAAAGCAAAAGCCTTTTGTACATATTCATCTACTCCCCGCTCATATTCATCACTCCATTTGGCAAACATCCACCACTCTTTAGTTCCACTATCCATACCTTAGGATAAGATTTAAGAGGGTTACTTTAATTAATTTTTCCTGTAAAAACATTTATCAAGTGTATTTCTATTGCCACTAGGAAGAAAGAGAACTACTCTAAAAATCAGAATACTTAAAACTAGTGTATTTCTATTGCCAAGGACAACTTTATCAAGTGTAATAAGCAAGGAGTATCAAAGTTATATTCATACAAATTTATGACCCACTTTACATTAATCTAGTAACAATGAAAAAGAAATGAGATATTAAAAAGAGCCAAGTGTAAATAGTAAAGAAAATTAAAAAGCCTTAAACTAATAATATTGGGGAGAATCCATATCAAAGTATAATCATTCTTCTAGTATTTTAAGAGCCACCATCAAATAAACAATACAAATCAAGATAAACCATATTTGCAGAAACTATCTGCCTTAAATAGAAAACTTAAGAGGCATTTGGGTAATTATGATTTGGTGTAGTAGTTCAATTAATATATAAAAGAGTAGCTAAAACAAAGAGTTCATATACCCTTATTTAGGGACTTCATTTCCATTCTGATAAGGCAGGCAACTTATGGGACAAAAGCTCTCCGGTCTAAACATAGAGGAGCTGCAATCTCTAGAAGAGCAACTAGAAATGAGTCTTTAAGGGGTTCGTATGAAAAAGGCAAGAAACTCATTACTTGAGAGTCTAAGTAGCTAGTTAACTTCAGTTTCAATATGAAAATTAGCTAGTTGTCTTAATTCACTGAACAATGCATCCTATTGTACTTACAACAAGGTACAACTTTGATAAGTGCATAATATACCATATTTTTGGTCCCTAATATTAGTATTATTATTGCCTTTTGTTTATTATTTTAGGAATTTATTTACTTTTATAATTTTAGTTCTTAGTTTATGTTAATATTTTATTTTATAGCTATTTTTTTTATAATTGATACTTAACATTTTGTCGTGTGTTTATGGTAGGATAAAGTGGAAGACAAAACCTACTCAACAACTTCAAATAGAGAACAAGAGAGGCCACTTATAACATTGTTTGCAAAAGAAAGGAAAAAAAAAAAGAAAAGAACAACAACAAGTAGCACGTGATATACAACATCAAGCAGCAAAAAAGTAGAATAAAAGGATGGAAAAAGAAGAGAAGATCAGAAGAAAAATCATCAGTCTTCCGTCAAAACCGAGGCTCCAACCTCCATGCTTATCTTCAACCCTCCTCTCCGAAATTCAAGCAAAAGATGAAGAATTATCTTATACTACAATTTTATCTCTTTGAAATCGAGAAAACCTATGTTGTTCTCAATTATAAAAACCTCCAATCATCCACCCCAGGGTGACACACAAGCAGAACCACAATATTGAGAGTGGTGAGAACGAGTTTATAGTCCAAGTGTGATCGAAGAGCTACGGTGTCGAGGATTATTGGAGGCGAGTGTGCGAAATCGGCGGAGGATCAAGTGTAGCGGCTACCTTGGTGTAATCCTAATTCATGAGTTTCTCCCTACTTTAATCCTTGATTATCTAGTTTGGTAGATTAGGCTTATTCTATTATACTTGTTAATTGGATGAAATTTTGCCTTCGATTTTTCATGATTTTGGTCTCACTATTAAACGTTGAGTTTATTAGTATTTTAATATTGAGTTTGGTATTTATTCAATTCATATGATCGTTGGTTTAATTTGAAGGTTTAATCTTTGTATGTGTGATAGTATACGATTACATTTATAAAGTAATTAAACTAGCTAGTTATTGTTAGACGCGGCGTTTGATGGTAATTAGAGTATACAACATAATTTAATTAGTATGAGCGGCTCATGATAATTGTTTTAAGTGTATGAATTGATCGATAAAAGTTGTTTATTGGGTTGGTAATATTTTAGCAAGATTCTAGTAGTTCTAGTGAGCAGAATAATGGATAATCCGCTGCGGGAATCCGGCAACCTAAATGCTAAATAGAGTATTGAATGAGACTAAAGGAATGGAAATAAGAGGTTAATTTGTGTCCAATTTATCAATGATCGAACCTCAACTATGTCGGATACTTGTTTGTCACTTGTAAATATTAGACTTATTCTAGTCTAGTTCGTATTAGTTTTATTAGTTTAGTACTCTCCTTAAACAAACCCCCCAATCCTATGTACATATGTGAATAAATGTATAGTATGCAAGTTTCCGTAATATATCTAGTTAAACCTTGTTTTAGGAGTTGAAAAGTCTCCTCGTGGGATCGACCCTTGCTTACCTTTTTTTTTTTCTTTAAAATTCATGGTTGGACTTGATTAAGTATACTAGTTAATCTGTGAATATAGTTATATAATTATTTTGAAGTTTTGTATTTAGATGATGCAAGTTTATTGGATTGTCTAATGTTAACTAATATTACCTATAGAATTATCTTTATGACAGAATATATGTGAATGTGCTGGGAGACAATAATACTATACGTGTAAGTAAGCTAAGCTCTCATGATCCTTTAATAAGTTGACTAATGTTCAGTGCTACCATAATTAATAGACTACTCTTGCAATTTACCAGCTCTTACCCACGGTACAAATTAATTAATCCACCTTAAATGATTTTTTTTCCCAAGTGTCTGTTCTTCGCGGCAACTCAAATCTTCTTTTGCCATATTGAAGAAAATTTGAAACTCCCATCCTGTTTCAATCTGTATACAATATATAAGTTTTGTCGGAATATGTTTCATGACTTTAGAACTATGACAAGTGATATATCTTTAAAGATACTATTATAAATAATTATATCTGCACAAGCCTGAAAGCTACCATATATGTCTTTTCCTTTATCATTCTAGCTTGATTCATCACCTTACACAAGTGACTTATTGCTGCTATTATTGTGAGAATTATAATTCAAAGAAGCATGTGCTTAATTAATTTTATAGGTGATTTTTGCTGACAGATGCTAAGAGATATGTGTCTAAGGTCGAATTAACACTCAAATGAATTGACTAATGGTAGTTAGTGGGGTTGCTTACACTATGTGTGGGTTGATTGTTTTAGATTAGCACTCACAATTGAGATACTTAATTTTACCACATATTTATTTGATGAATTTTTATATACCTTGCTGATTCTGGTAATCGGTTCCACAGGTTTTGGTAACAATATTATGTGATTTGTATGCATCTGCACGAATAAATTTTTGTGGCTGTAATTTCTCTGAAGTTTGTATTTTCAGTTGAGTTCCTATAATGGTATTGTTTGTTCTCAGGCCCAATATTTATTTTTGCAAGCATTAATCTGGTCTGATAACTCTAATAAAAGAACTTAAAAAAAAAAACTGAAACAAGTATGCTATATAACTTACACGAACAACCAGCACCCCGAAACACCTAGGGAAAAATTACGACGTACAGTACGAGTGCAACCACTTTTATGCAACGTAAACAAACCCAGACTCAATAATACTAAACAGAGGCATCAACAAAAAGTACAGAACATCAGAACCAACCAGGAGACTAATTTTATGCAGACATGCAACAGGATTACTGCAACAAGCTTTGGATCAAAAATGTAATTCAATCTCAGCATACTCATGGATATTACCATAGTCATAACATAAATGTTATGACAAATTATTTTGCTCCACAGGATTCGAAAGCCCAGAAAAGCGAACATCAAAGCAGATATTACACATTAGATCACATTAAACGAAGATAAGAATGCTTTCGTATAAAAATTTCATACTATGCTGCATAAATAAACCAAAAAACTCTTAGAAAGAAATTCTTACTATAAAAACATATTATACTTACAACAGGGTAGTAAAGACTACTAGCCAAATAGGGTTGACTTGTTTGATATTGCAAAACGAAATCAGCCAAAAAAAAGAACAAGTCTTACCCCATTAACCAAATCAGCCACCCCAAATCATTATATCTTCTTAATATCCATTTATATGAAATTCTCCCAAAAAACCCCATTAGACTACTCCAATACAATCAATATTCAGTACTTCTAGGTTTCAAAAAAAATAAAATAAAAAAATCAATTTTGCTAAACAAAATCCATTAGCCGTTTAATTCTAAGAGTTAATAGAGCAGAAACTTCATCTTCCATGGCATCAAATACAAATTTCCAAACACAAAAGCAAAAACTTCAAATTTAATTAACCCAAAACGATAATTTGTTGAATACCTTGAAGAGAATTTCGAGAAATCAGCTCAAGGAAGGGACATGCAAGATGAAATTGAGGCCGCCTGTGCCGCTATCAGCCACCACCGCCGGAGTGCCGCCTTCGTGATTTCTTTGCTTATTTTCCTCTTACAATTTTGGAGTATTTTTTTTCGTGATTTTCGTCTCAAAATTTGAAGTATTTTTGGAGAATTGAATTTATGAGATCTGAGAAGATGGGGAAAATGGTGAGAAATTGACAATTGGGAAAATGGAGAAAAAGGGGTATTGAAAGGTACTGTATGTACTTCTGTACAAGAGAATTAAGAATAGAGGGAAGCAAATTCTTACACGTGTTGTTCAAAATATTTGGTGAAAAAAATAGAGGGAAGAAATGCGCGCTTCATTCTATATTTTCATAATGATACAGCACATGCCGTTGCAATAGCTCTCATTTATGTTAAAATAGCTAGGCTATTGCAACGGTTCTTTACAGCCGTGGCAATAGCTATACCTCTAAGAACATTAGTGTTAAATCCGTGGCAATAGCCTACTCTATTGCAACGGTAATTAGAATACCGTTGCATTAGCCTTTATTAGGCCGTTGCATTTGGTCAAAAATGTAGTAGTGCTCGAAGATGTTTCTGAAGGTAAGGTAAAGCGTTGACCGGCTGTAACAGGTAGACGAAAATCAATCAGCTGCTTGTGAGATGCACAGACTGTTGATCGGATGTACCCACTTGGGAAGCAAGGGAATTTGCTGGAAAAGTACCTGAACGGTTCTTGGAAGTTCTATTTGTTGGGTGCATGGGCGAATGACCGGCTGTAACCACTTGAAAAAGAAGAGGCAGTTCTGGAAGATTCCCAGGCGGTTAAGAGGTTCTCTTGTTTGCGAGTTGCACAGACGGTATACCGGCTATGTCAAGCGGAAATAGCAGGAAATTTTGTGAAGTTAAAGGCAGACGGAATCAGAGTTTCTCTCTAAAGTCTTCTCTTTCTCTCTCTAAGATTTTTTCAAACAAGTCCTAAAATGAGAGGGGGAAGGAGGGGAACCTTACTTATAAAGGGGTTGGGAATAGGGGCATCCCTATAACTTCCCCAGAAGATGAATAGTTAGAGACTGTTCACCCATCCGCCTGTGACACTTGTCACAAACGTGGCATGTCACATGGCCCCTGTGAGGGGAAAATGATTTGGGTAAAAATACCCATGCCATGTTGCCCAATCAGAATGGGACACGTGTCACCTCATGACACACCCAATAAAAGCCACTCACAAATTGACACATGGCACTCGAACTTAGCAAGGTAAAACGACGACCTTTAAGGCCCAATTCCCGAGACAGCCCATCAATCCTAGGTTTTCATAACCTACGATAGTGGCATGAATCCCAAGACTCTATAAATAGGGAGATGTTCTCACCTAGGGAATACACATTCACTTTCACAATCAGTTGCGAAATAGAAGAGAGAGAATTTACTCAGAAACCGAGGCAGTCAATGATTGTTGGATAATTAATTCTCGCATCAGAGAATATTCTCAATCTCGGAATCCGAGAATATACTACTTTACTTTCCCCCACTTTTTACATTCTCCGAACACGTTCTAACTTGATCGTCGGAGGTGGAACTCCACCCAACCGGAGTCTCCGTTGTTATGCAGGTACAGGCGTCCGAAGTCCAGTCTTGGTGTTGTAACTTTCCCGAGGGACATAGAAAACCCTGAAACACTGAGTGTGCATAAGAATGATTTTAATTTATTCATCTATCATATATAAATTTGCATAATAGACATAAATAAATGCATATAAAAAAAATAATAGTATGAGGCACGTAAGTGTACCACCCTATAAGATAAACTATAATTCTCATTTTTAATATAGATTTTGGTACTAATTTTATATGTGTTTAGCCAACCATCATAGGGTTACTCGGTTAGTGTTATAGGGGTTACCCAGTTAGTGTTATAGTTGTTGCTTTGTCAGTGTTGTACTTTGTTATTTAAGGGTTACTAGATAATGTTAGGTTTTACAGTAATTCAACAACAAGAACTACTTAAGAATGTGGGAACAAAACCTAAAAATGATGTATAATTTCAACTTAATTATAAAACAACCAATACTAATCAAAGTATTACAACCAAAGCACCAAAAGATTAATGTATTACAGAAATTACAAAGAAAAACACTAATGTGAAAGATACTAAACTTGCCTCAATTCCAAGCCTTTAAAGATGATCATGAACATGAGAATACCGATAACCACTTGAGTCTCAAACCTTGATACTCTGTATTAGGCGTGTATACACTTTCCTAAAGAGGTTAATTTCCCCCAAAACGGTGCTTGGGTTCAATCCGGAAATCCTCTTTGAGATACAAAAGACAGCACTTCGTTCTTAGCACAAAGAATCGAAATATAGATGATAAATTTACAAATTTGGCTAAATTGATAGATATTTCAACAAGAGTTTGCAAGATTCTTGAGAGAAAAGTGTGGAGAATCCTTGGAGAAGAAAATATAACTGAAGATATCTTTTTTAGGAAAAACTAACTCCCTTTAATAAGAGGAAATAACCGCACGAAAATCGCAGACAAGGGAAGCAGCGCGGGCGCGATTCACGACGGCGCGGGCGCGCCTCCCCGATTCTGCCAAATCCTGCCTTGATCCAGAGAGTTGACGCGATTTTGTCGCGCTTTCAACGCGGGTCGCGCCTACTTGGCGCGGGCGCGCCACTTCAAAATTAAAATTTCTTCACTGGATCCAGCAAGTCAGCGCGATTTTATCACGCCTTGATCGCGGTTCACGCCCTATATAAGAGACGCACAATCCTTACAGATTCATACACTCTAAATTACTAACTGATAAGTATAATAAGACTCTATTCACTTCATCTTAAAGATATAATATTTGGAAAAAATAATTTCATTTAGTATAAATAAGTTCTATTTGGTATTTTTAATTTCAGTTTAGGAAAATGCAATTACTTTAAAGAAGAAATATAATAAAGAAACAATAAAAAAAAATTATCAACAAAAAAATTTCAATTCAATAAAATTAATTTTAGTTCAGTAAAAATAATTTAAGTTCAACAAAAATAATTTTAGTTTAGTAAAAATAGTTTCATTTTAGCAAATATAAGGTGAAGTGAACAGAGCTTAGAAGTTTCTCTATCAATATAATAGGGGTTAGTTAGTTAGTGTCATAGGGGTTACTCTGTTTTTTTTACAAGCGGTCACACGGTGTGACCATCCGCACACAAAATATGTTGTAGATTTTGTATATGTCGTCACGAGTGATATGTAAGAATGATATGCATTTTATTTTTCTTCTCTTATATGCTTGTATATTTAATTTTTTTTATTTACTATTATATATATGCACTAAAAATATAAAATGATTACATATAATTCAAAAAAGACGGATAATCAAATAATTGACAAGCCTAAACATCATTCCGAGGTTAAAGTTTTAGAAAAAAAAATAAATTATACTTCGTACTAAGCTTTAAGTTAGTGGCTTTGCAAATTTTTTAGACGGGTAAATTTTTGATTGTAGAAGGTGCGATAGGTGTGAGGTGATGATCAGGTGAATTCATCATGTAATAAATAAAGGTAGTAAGTGATGGGACCAAAAATCCTATCTTTAAAAATTTGATGTTAAACTTTAAGTGTTTTTAGAAGCCGTAGAGGAGAAAAAAGATACGAAAATATAAGTGATATACGAAGTACAATATATAATGATCATGTTATTATAATGGTAAACTTTTCCAAGAATATATTGAGTTAAGAGAACGGAGATAGTCATTTACAAGGCAAATTTTTATATGTGGCTAGCCAAACCATGTGGCAGGGGTTACTCGAGTTACTCAATCAGGGGTTACTTGAGGGGTTCAGTCAGGGGCTACTTGAGGCGTTCGGTCTGGGGTTACTTGAGGGGTTCGGTCAGGGGTTAGTTACTCGGTCATGGGTTACTTAAGGGGTTACTCGGTCAGGGTTTACTCGGTCATGAGTTACTCGATTAGGATTTACTTGAGGGGTTCGGTCAGGGGTTACTTGAGGGGTTCGCTCAGGGGTTAGTTACTCGGTCATGAGTTACTCGGTCAGGGGTTACTCGAGGGGTTACTCGAGTTACTCGTTCAGGGGTTTAATTTACTCGAGGTCAGGGGGGTTCGGTCAGGGGTTACGAGTTACTCGGTTAGGGATTACTTGAGGGGTTACTCGGTCTGGGTTACTTGAGGGGTTACTCGGTCAGAAGTAACTAAAGTAATCCCTGACTAAATAACTCGAGTCATCCCGGCCACACGGTGTGACCAGCCACGCAAAAAATTCCCCATTTAAAAATGAGGTGACCAGTGGCTCAAGTAAAAATGAGGGGAAAAATATGACTTAATGTGGGTATTAATTGTCAGTTCATTGAGCTGAATTATTTTTCAAATCTTTCCATACAATTTAAGAATTAAAAAAAAAGGGTTGTTTTCAAGTAATACTTTGTATGTCAATATTTTGAGGGTTAAAAATATATGATTAAGACATATTTATAAGTAAATTCATTATTACTCATTAAATCATATTATTTTAAAATTTTGTGAAATAAATAAGAGTATCAAGATTTGTAAGCCGTGCATCGCACGAGTGCTATACTAGTTTCAACTATACGCTGATGCAGCCTTACTTTAAAGAAAATTTACATGACAACTTATATTACAATATTATTGAAAACATAAATTTATAAAAATAGAATAGAAGTAAGGGTGAAATACATATTTTAGGGTAACACTAATCTAACTAAGAGTTAATTTACATAATAGAGATATGCTTTTGACCCAAATCACGACTTTTCAAACAGAATTCGTTTACATGAAACTGAAACAATTTAAACTACTTATATGACACTTGTATAATCATAATACAAATTGAAAAATTACTTCCTCCTAAACCTACTTTAGAAGTCCAAAAAAAAAAAAAAAACCTACTTTAAAATATAACTAGGTTAGTCCCGTACGATAATATATATATATATGTATATATATATATATGTATATATATATATTTATATATATATATATATATATATATATATATATATATATATATAATGTAATTATTTGTATGTAATATGTATTTAAGAAAAACATAATGAATCGTGTGCCTTCTCATTAGATAGATTGAGCTATAACGAATAATATGTTATTATATACGGAGTATTATAATCATGTATTATACTATTTGCTTCGTAATTTAAATAAAACTTAAAACTTATTTCTAAGATGTTAGCATTAATTACTGGTTTATCTTTCATTATTATTATTATTATTTTTTTTTTTGAAGAACTAATAAAGAATGGAA